GTATATACGAAAATACTAGAATATTCCTACATCATTCTCATTCCTTTCTTGATATTTTGTTTTGCAACTAGTTACAAGTGTAATTTACTTGAACAAGTTCTATTTATAAGTGTCTATGATATCTTTTAAGATTTTAGAGTAAGTTTAATGGTGCAAGATATTAGCGATGCAGCGAGAAAGGGTGAAAAAGAAGACGACAAACCCTTCTCGTTGATTCACAAGCATTTAATCGATAGGTTTTATTATTATTATCATTTTATTTTATTTTTTTGAGAAAAAGGATCTATTTTCTTGATTTCATCGGTAAAATAGATTTTTATTTTTAGAGTAAGTTTAACGGTGCAAGATATAAGCGATGCAGAGATAAAGGGTGAAAAACAAAGACGACAAACCCTTCTCGTTGATTCACAAGCATTTAATCGATAGGTTTTATTATTATTTTTTTTTTTTTGAGAAAAGGGATCTATTTTCTTGATTTGGTCGGTAAATAGATTTTTTTTTTAAAAAAATGCTTTTTAGTGGGTATTAGGTATTGGCCTTCTAGCGAAACAAATTATACATCAAATCAATCCATGACAAGGTTGTTCAAATAAGTCAACAACTTATGTTAAAAACTTAGGAAAATGCATAATATTCTAGTAAACTCAAAGAACCTCATCGTTTGCCGGATGACATTAAAGCTCGTTTTTCCTTGAGTTAAAATAATGGATAAAAATTTAAATTAAAGTTAATAATTAATTTTGATCACATATTTTATAAGATCCATAACTTTTGAATCACAAGTTTCATAATTTTCTTTTTTTTAAAATCAAAATTTACTAAAATTGAATCTTAGTTAAATCAAACATGGGCTAAGATTCGTTCAGCAAGACCTCTACTTTTACTTTTTGCTTCTTTAAGAAGATCTTTCAGATGAAATTATCTTACGTTATGTTCTTCTAAAAGTTGTTCTAATCAAACAATAAATTTTTAAAAAAATATTCGAACGTTATTAAAAACAACTTCTTAATGTTAAAAACAACTTTCGACTTCTTAAAAGTACTTATAAATAAGTAATTTTGCCAAGTAAAATCAGTAAAGCTATGTTTGATAGCCAAGGAATT